CGTTACCACATCATCTTTTCAACATTTTTCCTTGAAGTTCAAGTGCAAAATTTGTGTTCAGAAAGAGGAAATTCGCCATTTTAAAAATCACATTTGGTCACCTGACCAGCTACGAACTTACTCATTTTAAGAAAATGGTGTGTGTTTGAAAAACCTATTCACTATTATTTTGTTTAAGATATGACCCACTAATGGTTTTTCGAAGGCAAAATCATATAACTTTGATTTTCATAAAAACGATGTCACATGACCACTTAGTGCAAATGGCCAGAGTATTGTTAACATCATTTGAATCTGTCTTGGCTTACGCAGGCGTGGATGAATGATAGCTACAATCAGGGACACAAGTAGTTGACACACTTGTTTAAAATGGCTGCTTTTATCAACAATTTCATTCATCTATTATTTCATAATTTCCTTTTAAATGCCGTAAATCCACTCACCCCAAAATCAATGTTGTCTGAAGTAAAAGAAAGACTTGAGGGTCCAAAATACAGACAGGGGAAGGGGATAGGTATGTCCACTATACAAAAAGGGGCCATTTATGGGAAGTGTCTTAACACTTTTGTCCCTCATTGTAGGTTCACTTGCATGTATACATATGACTAAGGCAAAACAGTGGGCTTCAGTCTGCCTCGAACTGGTTTAGGATTTCGCTTTTTCTCCATAAGTTCAAGAACATTTAAACTTCTAGAGTTCTCAAATCTCTCAAAAATAGTGGTTGGAGGGAGAGAGAGAGAGAAAAAAGAATATGTGGCGTGTGTGAACATGTGCACATTTGTGTACTTTTCATGTAGAAATTATTGGATCTCATTATGCCTGAAAAGTGCCAAAATTGTAAGAAAACTAGTATAAGCCAATTAAAGAAATTCCTTTGTTGATTTTATTCATTTAAATATTTCAGAGGAAAGCTATTAGGGAGCTCAAGTAAAGACTTTTTCGGTCAGCACCACCTTTTAACTTGACTTGAGGCCTTTTCCTTTTCACATGCCTTGAAGCTACCAAAAGTGTATTGCTAAGTGTCTTTACTCTTATTGAGACAGTTTGTTGCAAAACGTTTTGGACATAACAACTGCCCAAGATGCAATATGTTCACTTCTGTTCCCCATTGTGTTGTATGTGAAATGTCACTTAAGCAGAACATAAGATACTAACCAGACTGCACTGCGCTCTGCAAAATGAATCAACAAATTAACTGAGAACTATGGATTAAGCAAATAATATTATTAAAATCTTGCTAATTCTCTTATCATAAAAAAACTACTTGACGTCAATTTCAGAGGATTATTTTAAATTAATCACTGCAATAGGGTCCCAAAAATTATCAATATCCATGACCACTACACCCCTACAAATTAATGGGAAATGTGATTATAAGTACCTGTTTTTTTTTTTTTTTTCAGCTTGGAATGTTTTTCCATCTTTACAAAATTTACGATGTGATGCAGAGCAGGTTAGCAAGAAAACCAACCTATCTGATTATGATCTGAGAACGATCGCTGCCAACAAAGGATTCTTTGTTTCTGATAACCAAGCATCCGGGAACTGTTTATTCCATGCATTATCAGAACAATTACAAAGTGTCAAAGGAATTCAAATCTCACACAAAGAGCTAAGAAAAACCTTGGTTCAGTTCCTTGATGAGAACCCTAATCGGGTAAGTTGATGACTAGCCTAACTAAGACAAAAATTATTGGCACGTGCCTTCCATTTCTGTTTGGCGGATTCCCCTCATATGATAAGGAACTAAACATATCATACTGTCCACGCGAGAACTAGTGAGTCAGCTCCAGCTTTATCTGTCACTTATACTCTTATATCACCCAGCTCGTCCTATTCTTAATTAGTTCATATCACTGCTAATTACTGCCCTACACCTGTTCGTCAAATTGTATCACACCAATATTGATTCCTAAACTCAGTTTGACGTTTCTTTGCTAAACTAAACTGGATAAAAGCCGGGATTGAACATAAAAAAAAAGAACTGAAGTATTATGGGATCAAGACTAGGCTCTCTTGATCTTCTTTGAAATCACCCACCTCTTCGTATTTAGTCTGAAATACTTAAGCTTTGACAGCGAAACCTGGAGGGTAATAACAACCAAAAATTACCATTTTAGGTCACTTGTCTTGATGACGTCACACAAATACGTCATGACTTGAAATACTGGTGGTCGCCTTCTGTGGCCATCTAAGGTTACAGGTGACCCAGGTAAATTTTTCTTAAAATCCCAGTTAACAGTATCATTTCCCTCTGAAAACTACTTCCAGAATTTTGGAGAGAATCCAATTAATTCATTAACAAGGCTGCCTCAAGGTGGGCCCAGTTATAAAATACCTTCCTTTTTCTCCCCAGGGGGTATTATCTGGGAAGTCATAGTGAGGGTGTGCTGTCCAGCTCTCCAAATCTTGACACTACTTCAGAGCAATAGCTATAAGGTTAATGTAAGGGAGTATTCCCCGGAGACTTCCTACATCAAAAAATGAAGACTGTCAATTATTGACTTAGTAACAGCAAAGCATTTTAAGTGAAGGCAGCCACATCCTCGGAGACACAGGGGGCAGCTAGTTGGGATGATAGGATGTGTGAAAGTTTACTGTAAGATTGAGACGAGCCCCTGGCACTTACTCTTACCAAACCAGTTCGCAAAGCGAACTTCTGAATGGCCAGAAAAAAAATTTCTGGCCAATCAGCGAAGAGGAACAGCCAGGTGACTCTGGTGTTTTCTTACATGACATATGTTTCCTCATCGATTGCCATTGTTGAGTAGCCCATTTAACTGGAAAAGTTTCTCAAGGGAAGTTTCAGAAAAAATGTTAACAAACGCAGAAAAGTTTCAAAAGTCGTGCAAACTAACATGGAGATCTAAAATGTAAGCTTGGCATTGTATACTAGACAATGTGAGCAAAGGTATGGAAAGTAAAAGTTGTGCATCGTGTATCAGCAATAAAAATTTACAATTCCTTTGACAGATCAGCTGTAAAAACTAATCGGAGATTGTTTGGTTCTTGCAGCCATAATAAAGCATGCAATTTTCCCAGCTTTATTAACATTTTTTCTGAAACTGTCCTCGATAAACTTTCCCCATTGAACATTGTACACAATTATGGCGATCAGTGAGAGTGTGCAGCCTTTAAAATACTTTCTAGCAGATTAAAATCACTCCATGTCTATGTTGCTTACCCAGAAAAAAAGTGATATTCACTTGTTTGATTGTTTTTGTTTTTGTTTTTTAGCACGAAGGGACATCTCTGCTCAACTTTGTCTCTGGATACCCGTCTTGGCATGAATACTTACAGAGCATGGCGAAAGATGGTACTTGGGGCGATCATGTGGTTTTGTTTGCTGCAGCAAATCACTTTCAAACTCCCATCCGTATTATCAGCAGTCTTGACCATGAGATAGTTGTCCAGCCAGATCATGCACTTGCCAATACCAACCCCCTTGTGTTGGGACACATTCACGAGTTACACTATGTTAGCCTTCAGCCCAGACAAGGTAAAACATTCTTTCCAATCGCAAACATCCTGCTTTTTTTTTTTGGACTTGTGGGAATTATGTTTGCAGAATTTATATACATACGGCTATTTCGAGAAAGGTTGTTGGAAAAAATGTGGAAAAATATGGGATATGATCATGCCTTTATCAAAGGGAAGTGATAAGAATTTTTACAAAGAACTTGAGGAGGCATGTTAGAAAAATGCAAAGTTTTACCTAATTAACCCTTGTTTTTTAACAGTCAAATTACCACTCACAAATGAATACATGTGCCATCTCTGATGATTCTAGAAGGTGTGGTTTTGCCAATTTGCACAATAAACGCTGAAGTTTATGCTAAAACTTCAGGATTTTAAACTCTCAAATATTTTATCGTGGAGTAATATTTTATTTTGTTTTAGTTTGATTACATGTTTTCTTTATATCTAAACCCATAAGTAGACACAGCAAAAGAGAAGTTTAATACCTAATTAATTGGTTATTGCCATGATATAGTACTGATTAGTAAAAAGCAAAAATATAATATTCCTTGTGGTACAATGATATTGTATTTATTTCCAGTATTAATTTGACGCTATATGAGGCCTGAGAAGACAGCCAACATTTTGTGATGCCACCACTGGTTTCCCCTTAAAAAGAAGTCCAAGGAACGAGCACAGAAATTCAATACTGATGACACATCACTATCCAGATCTGGGTAGTGCTTCTGATTGGTTGAAGCAAATTTACCACACATCAGGACCAATCAGAAGCACTACACAGATCTGGGTAGTGATACATCATCAGAATGAAATTTCAACTCTTGTTTCTCAAACGTCATTTCATGGGGAAAACCAAATGATGGCTGTTTTCTCAGGCTATGTGAGATGGTGCCAGCTCTGTCCTAAGCAGCTAGTTACCTCATATAGTGCTAGTGGCAAAAGTGGCCAGATCCAGTTTCTCACACTGTATTTGCAATTGCTAGAACACCACATTCTTGTCATAATACTATAGAGACGAGAAGTCATTATGTCATGTTGCCATGGTAGCAAAATTTCTGGATGACAACAAACCGAAAAATTAAGTCTCTTAAATGTGAATTTGCACTGTTATTCAATTTTATTTAATTTGTCAAATGTTGCCGATGGATTCTGAAAGGACCGTATCTAAGTTAAGAAAAAGTAAAAGTAAATTGTTGTGCTGTGTTCACCTACCTCAGGAAGCGGGTGCGTGAAATTAGGACATTAATTTTTATGTCACAGTCGTGCAACAACGGCTAAGAAGTGTCAAAAAAGTGTCATGCACATGCAAAGTTGTTATTTTGCTAATATAAAACTATTTCTTTTTCCCGTTCTCGTTGGCGTTGCCGCTGTCATTGCCTAAGCTCCCTTTTGTTGCCCAAAATTTTGCTTCCATGGTAATGTGACATCGCACTTCTCCTCTCTCTTGTTGAAAATATTATCATTATTAATTGTCTTTTTTATCTTCATTGGATTCATTATTTGTTTAATTGCACTGATTAGGATCCAAGACATTAACATCTTCAGAGCATTCAACTAGCAGATCAGTGGGCAGTGATGGCAATTCACCCCAGCTTACCACCATTTTCCCAGAGGATACAACTAGCAGTTCAGACGAAAGTGATGGTTTTGTACCACAGCTTACTGACAGTCTCCCTTCTTGTGTAAACTATACTGCAAGCAATGCAAAGAAGCCAATTAGAGGCCCTCCTGAGCTTAATAAAGTTCTCCCATCCTTGGCTGACATTAACACAATAACCAAACCTTCAAAAGATGCTGATCTCCCTGATGATGTTCTATTACTGACAGTGAAGAATTATGAGTTCTTAGCTTGTTACAGTGAGCTTAAGAACCCCTATAGATGTTACTTTGATGGTCTCGGATATGTTTACTTTTCTGATGTGGATAGAAGGCAAGAGAAAGTTACAGTCGCATTATTAAAATGTTTTGAAAATAGTAGTGGTCCTGGTGGTTCTCTTGTCTCTGTTAAGAATGCGGCCACTGTACTAAGACCTAAAGCAGTTATATCTGTTGGTGCATGTAGCAGCCTTCACCCTGAGAAATCCAAGTTAGCAGACATTGTTGTTTCTGCCAAAATAGCAACATATGCATCCAAAGTGGTGATCAATAATCAAGAACAGTCAACTGGTATGAGGAGTTATGTGAGCAAACGCTTCCTGGATGTCATTAAGAATTGTGCTGATGGCTGGCAAGCACCATTGAAGAACCTGGCTGATGCTCAACAAGTTCAAGTTTATACTGCTGCTGAGTTTCTGAGTGGACCAGAACAAGTCATTTCTGGACAGCGGCGTGATCAACTTGCTGAAACCAATCCTCAGGCAATAGCAATGGAAAATGAAGGAGAAGGTAGGCCGACTGCTTTTTGATAAGAGGGTGCACACAGCCAGGTCAAGCTTTGCTTGAGGTGGAAAGAGACACAGTAGCATGCATCATACTTGTACTAGAAAAGCAAAAATTTTGTTTCCTTAAAAGCATCAAGAGGTCGGGAGTTTGGCACTTAAAATCATGTCTGTCAGTTTCATTGGGAAATCCTCTCGTTTTTGCTTGAGAAATAATAATTATTGTCATATTGCCTAAAACATTATGCGGCTAAATCAAATTTAGGCTAAGTTTAACTCTAAACATTGCTGGCCACTTAAGTTAAATCTTTCAAGTGAGAAGGCTCTTCGGGAACGCTGGGGAATTCACAGCTTCTCTGTTGAGGTCATACCATTACATTCAAGTAGCTTATTAATGTTGCTTGTACTCGTCAATTGTTCTGCTCCTTACCCTGCCTTCCCTTTGGTAAGTACAGTGGAACCCCGTTAATACTGTCACTAATGGGTCAAAACAATTTGGCCACGTCAACGGGGTGGCTGAATTACAAGGGCAGGGTCAAACTTTATGACTTAAGGACTGTAATGACAAGCACATCATACATCGCTGTCACACTTCTTGTACAACGCTGTTCTCTTAAATAAATAACAGGAATGTAGATATCACGTACCGTAGTTGTAAAAACTACTTGAAACTCCGTCAGGACATAAAACAGTTTTTAAAAATCGACTATAAGACCACCACAAAATACATTGTAAGTGACTATAGTTTAAAAACAGTAGAAAAACAAGCGCAGCTTGATTACTAGGTCAATGAAATTGACATATCACAGGCATTTCAATTTTCAAAATTTCTGACAAGTGGCCGTTTTAGTGGGGTGAAATATTTTATTGTAAAAGATGCTACTGTTTGGGATTTTAAAATATGGCAATTGGCCACATCAGTGGGTGACTGTGTTAACAAGGTTTTTTCATTAGAAAATGTATGGCCATTTTGCCAGGCCAAAAGTTTCTATATGATCGTTACGATCACAGCGATCGCTGAGAAAAAAAGTTCAGCGATCATATGGAAACCACTCTCCAGTGATCGCAGCGACAACGATCGCTGAGATAGAACTTTTTATATCTCAGCAATATGTTGTCGCTGCGATCGCTGGAGAGTGTTTTCATATCATCGCTATGATCGCTGAAGTTTTTTTTTTCTCGGCGATCGCAGCGATCACAGCAAAGGTAGCGATCATATGGAAACCGGGCTTTAATTTGATCATGGCATATTTTAAACGTAAGGATTGCTTACAGTGAAACCAGTCTATTTAAACTGTGTATTATTATGAAAAAGCTAGTGATATTGTATGGTCCGTCTCAATAAGTGCAGTAGTTTGGTCGAGTGTGTTGATTTCACTGACTTGAGTGGAGCTACTTTGGGCTGTTTATAACTTTTTCCGAATAAATAACATAGACCTAAAATGTTCTTTTGTCCGGTGCCGAAAATATCCCAAGTCATGATGAGACGGCACCGCCGAGCTTCACATCTTGACAGATTTACTTTGTAGCAAAACGGCCGCCGAGCTACACAACTCGGTAGATTTACTTTGTGGTACAACAGCCGCAGAAACGTTTGAAAGATGAACGTTTCGAAAGATTCAGCGAACACAGATCGATAGTAGACCTTCAGAAAACTCTTGAAATATGTACGCTTTGCGAAGATTCAGCAAACTTTTAAAAGATGAACGCTTTACGAAGGCAAAATAAAAGACCTCAGAAAACGCTTGAGGACACACGAATCACCATTTTGAGTTAGTTCGTCAAAGTAAGGCAAAACGTAAGCAAGCGCCTCAAAGCGAGGCAAATGTGTGTCGACGACGACGACAAATGCAATCTCAAAAAACCTCCCTTATTAATTGCACAGGGCACCCAATAATGCGCAGAACACCCAACACAAATAAGGGGTTGCGCTCTCGTACCTCGAATGCAAAAATGGCTGCCAACATCTCTCACTGTCTGGTCAAGTTTCTTATTTTGCTGATGAAGACACTTAAATGAAACAGGACTTTTCTCAAACCTCATCTACTGTTTGTTTTGTTGTTCTACAGGCGTATTTACAGCAGCATTTGATTGTCAAATTGAGTGGTTAATTGTGAAAGGAATAGCTGACTATGCAGATGGTTCTCAGTTAGCTTCAGAGAGTTGGTCTTCCTGTGCGAGTGTGATGGCAGCATCTCTTGTTGCACACATGTTGAATGAACCCTGTGTTTTCCATTCATGGCCTCATTATCAAGGTAATCATGCTATCATAAAGTGCTGTCACATCTTGGCATCTGATTTATTGAATCTATTGTTGGGTTCGTTCCATAGTACAGTCACAGATAAGCTACATGGTACATGCTCTGGGGTGCATGCCATCCCAAATTCAGCATTCCACTTGTTCAAGTTGAGATTCAAGTAGTATAGTGAATGTGATACATTTCTGTAAAATAACAAGAAGCATTGGAAGTGTGCATCTCATTAAAAAGGGACCAGTACGATTTGAGATAATTTGCAATATTTAGAAGCTATCGTGATAGTCCGGATTATACCGGAAATCCTCTATTAAGCCACCCTCTTCTGAAATAACCCCCCTCCCTCTTATAATCACCCCTTCCCTCCCCTAATTATTCTTTACTAATGAGGATGGATGGTTTCATACCAACTGGAAGTTTGGATTTGATTATGATCCTCCGTGCATGACCTTAAACCTTCTTGTACTTGAGCTTTTCCACTTAGTTTTGTAGTTCTCTATGGAGAGCTGATACTATCGTCTTTTCTAAATTAATTGAGCCCCCCACCCCATCTCAAATAAGGAGGATTTGCGGTAGTGATATTTTGACACTTGACATGCATATTTTAGACAGTGGTGAAAATATTATTATTATTATCGTTTTATACGTCATCAGTGAATCAATAAAATATCAATTTTGTTATCAAACTAATGAGTGTTTTTTCTTCAGGACCGCAACCACAAGTGTTAATCACCTACTATGATGAAACCCTAGCCGCTCCTTTCATCGAACGTATGAAGAAACATGTCCGAGATGTCACTGACAAACCTTACAGAGACCTCAAATCACCTTTTCATAATCCAGGCGAAGGACCTAGAAGAGATCTAAAACTTGACGAAGTCTTCACCAATTTGCTTGTTTATAAAGGGAGAGCGAAGTATGACTTTTCAGGAGACAGAGTGAAACAGCTAAACGAGTACCACAAAGCCAATGAAAGTTTACGACCAACACCGCCAGGAGATATTTTTAATGCTAAAGAGCTGAAGATTCTTGTTGTCGGTCGTCCTGGAATTGGAAAAACCATGTTTAGCACAAAGATTCTTCGCAACTGGGCGTCCGATAACCTTTTCAACGAAACACAAAAATCGCAAGTCGATTTTAAAGTTGCCTGTCTCATTAAGCTGAGAATGTTTAACTATAGAAACCAAGAACTAAATCTTCGCGAGATTCTGGATCACTCAGAGTATTCAACCGCTCTTTCCGAAGAGCTCTGGAACTACATCCGCCACAACCCAGAGCGAGTACTGTTGATTTTTGATGGATTTGACGAATATTCTGGTAGGACCAAAATAAATGAAGATGACATTCAGTACAGAAACAGTGAAGAGGAAAGGATGCCTGTTTATTTCCTTATGAAGAAAATGGTAGAGGGAAAAATTCTTACCGGTGCGACAATCCTAACGACTACAAGACCCAATGCCGTGTCATGTATGAAAAGTCTTCAGTTCGACAAAACAGTTGAAATTCTGGGATTCTCAACTGAGCAAGTAAATAATTATGTAGAGAAGTTTACAAAGGAGGCGGACAAAGCGGAAACCATAAAGCAACACATCACCAGTAACTTAAACCTTGTAGCCTTCTGCTACGTTCCTGTTAATTGCTTCATCATTTGTTGCTGCTTGTTAGAGTTGCTTGGTAACACGGGCTTTACCAGCCTCCCGACGAGACTGACAGAAATATACTCCATTGCAGTAAGAATGTTTTACTTTAGCGACGATGATGATCAATATCGCCACAATAAAACTGAAGGTCAACAGTATTTTCTTAAGCCGTTTAAGGAACTGCCTTCCTCTGTGCAAAATGTGTTCACACGACTGGGAAAAATTGCTTTTGATGGAATTAAAAAAGGAAGATTAATTTTTGAAACACGCGAAGTTAACGACCTAGAGAGTAATGGCCTGTTTCACCGTTTACCTGATTTTAGAGACCGTCCTTTAGCAGAGGGAAGAGCGCAATATTGCTTTTTACATCTGACCGTACAGGAGTTCTTGGCGGCGAAGTATTTGGTAGACACGTTGAGTTCCGAACAACTGCGGGATTTTGTTGCCGCTCACATCGAGGTTGGCGCGTGGAAGGTTGTGATGCAGTTTGTGGCTGGACTGCTGGCTGAAAAAGAAGGACAGTCAACAGATATTTTCAGCGATTTTCTTCCCTCAAAAACTTCTACTGAAGAAGTTGAAATCAAGATGAATGAAGATTTAGAGGAACGAACTGAAACACTGACCCGTTGGCCAGACTACGGAGGAGACAAGCATTTAGTGGTGACGCTATTCAATTGCATGTATGAGAACAAAGCCTCTGATCAAGAAGTTCAAAAGAAACTGGCGAAAATTGGTTGTAATGCGCTTGATTTTAGTCAGTGTAACCTGTCACCTCTCGACTGTGTAGCATTAGTGCATGCACTTAAATCTGTTGAAGGAATTTTGGATTTTGATTTAAACGGCAGCAACCTTCAGTCGCTAGGATGTATTGAGATTGCGAAGTTGTTACCTGGTAACCAACACAATCAGGGTTTTTGCGAACTAAAAAGATTAAACATCGCTTATAACCACATAACTGATGAAGCAGTTAAACAGTTATCTACAGCACTCACACACACTAACTGCAAAGTAAACAGCTTAAACCTCGGGGGTAACAACATAACTAATGAAGCAGTTAAACATTTATCCACAGCACTCACACACACTAACTGCAAACTAAACAGCTTAAACCTCTATAATAACATCATAACTGATGAAGGGGTGAAACATTTATCTACAGCACTCACACACACTAACTGCAAACTAAACAGCCTAAACCTCTATAATAACATCATAACTGATGAAGGGGTTAAACATTTATCTACAGCACTCACACACACTAACTGCAAACTAAACAGGTTAAACCTCTGGCGTAACAACATAACTTATATAGGTAAAAATCTCCTAAACTCATTGAACACAAACTGTAAAGTATCTTTCCCAATTTTCTAAAAGGTATATGTTTCTCTGTTGAAGGAATTTTGGATTTTGATTTAAGCTTCAACAACCTTCAGTCGCTAGGATGTTTTGAGATTGCGAAGTTGTTACCTGGCAACGAACACAATCAGAGTTTTTGCGAACTAAAAACATTTTAATGTTTGAGTAGTTTAGCGGGATACAGTAGTTAAATGTTTAACTCCTTCATTAGTGTCTTCATTAGTACTATGGAGGTTTCAGCTTAGTGTATGTGAGTGCTGCAGTGAAGCGTTTAACTCTTTCATCAGTCATCGGGCATCTCTCGAGGATTTTGCATCCCGCTATACTACCCAAACCTCTTTAATAATAAAATAACCCAGGGAGCTAAAAGTATCTTAAAACCAATGACAATATTCTGTTAAGTACGCTTATCTAATCAATTTAAAGATGTGTTGGTTTTTCCCTGAATAGCGCTGATTGTAGTCTGAATTCAGTGGCGTTTTTGGAGCCTTAAAAAGAAGTTGTCTTTTTTCTTTTTCTGCAAAGCTTCACAGTGATCAGGTAACTTCAAAGCAATCTCGCAGCCCTTCGATTTTCTTTTGTATTATTTTCATAATACTTTCAGTTTTAGGTGAAGCGAAATTGTTATTGGACACTACTATGTCTGTATAGTGTACTTGAACAGGTTGTGATTTCAAAAGTTGAAAGGTTCATATGGAAAACGCGTAACTAAAAATCTCCAGCAATGCGATGGTGGAGACTGGGTTAAATTGATAGACACTGTATTTATTCATTTGAGATAGTTGTACATACAGTATAGCTACATGTGATATATTATAGCTTTACCGCATAGTACAATTTGGGATTGACTAACATTCTGCGAAATATAACTAACACTACGCGAAAATTGTTTTTTAGGACACGGTGGCTTTATATAGTATTGCGTAAACATAGCAACGTCATATTAACAATGTGTATTTAAACAAACTAAAACAGTTCATATGTAAATGACGCTTTACTATTAACTCTGAAAAGTATTCCATAGTGGCGACACTGTCACAAATTGATTATTATAGACATATGTGATCAATTTAGATAGCCATGGATACAGTACCCTGCAAGCAGTGGTTATATGATGTATAAATTAAGAAATTTTCCTATAGGCGTGTTATTAGCTTAATGTGACCATGCTTTCACTGATCAACAGTAAGCGTCATTTTAGAATTTTTTATACATACAGTGGCTGATACATTTTCAGGTTTCCTGTTTATCATTGTACATGGCCTTGGTTTTTAAAATGATGTTATTAAAGTTCCGTTAGACCAGTAACATGTCGGCCTAGCCTCGTTCCTTAGTAAATTTAGCCTGCGTGGCAGGACTTAAAAGTGGAAGGGGGAATTTGGGCGCGGTCTCGCGCCCTAATTACCTTTCCCTTCCCTTTCAAACGCCTGCCACGCAGGCTATAGTAAATCAAACTGTCCTTCCTTCACCTAAATGTTTATGGCACAGAAGAAGCAAAGGTGGATCTAGACTGACAGGGGGTGGGAGGGGTTTGGAGGCCTATGCCCCCCCTTTACTGTACGGATACTTTTTTTTTGGCTAAGATATTAACTTTGTATCTAAAACGTATGGATCCAGAACTCGACGTTTGGGTCTAGGGGGGGGGGTGGTTGCTTTCTGCTCAAAATGAAGTATCTAGGGTCCTCCGCGCCGGCTAACATGGGAGATGATGACCATTAACAGGTGAACTTCAACAAACAACACTGCAACTCTCGCAACGCCACATACTACAGCGCTAAAATCGCGTACTCTCAATTGCAATATGCGATATCAAGCACAACACATACAGAAATACAGTACAGATTAAACTGTTACAAGGAACCCCGGCAAGAAACTTGCTTGTCACCATCGTTAGTCTGCGGTGCTGCGCAACAAATTTCTCGCAAACCAGCCTTTTATTGATGAAAACTTTATCATTATGCATAGAGATGGCTGAGTCGTGCGGTGTTCATTGTGTGGTGAAGCAAATTATGGATTATCCGAAGAGAAGAAAACGATCTTCCCGCCTCTATGCTACCCATGGCCGGCAAAAGGGATTTCAGTATTTTAGGCGATCTGTTTAAAATATCGAGTTCATTTTGAGAGTTTTTGGGATTATTCTATCAAACTATTCTTGATCACAAATCGGTGGTAAACTGTCATCTGCTTCGTTGCGCTCTCGCGCCCTTATTTAACCCCTCTTGGTGCTGCCAATAACGCCTCAGGCAGGTTACTTTACCCTCGGGTCTCGACAAGCGTTGAAGTTTCTGGGGTCGGGGAGAGGCTCGCAGAACCCCGCGAGAGGAGGGTGGTCCGTAAAACGTTAAGGATGAGAGCGGAGAGGAAAATGGAGTAAATTGTGTGACTAGGGAGGCCGAGGGCGGGTTCAAGAACCTTAATGGGACTTGTGGCTCTTGGCGGGTTTCAATACTGGCTCTGAAATTTAACTGGTGGCTGAGACTACTCGATGTCCTAATTCAAACCCTGCCTAGTCCTTAGGCGTCATTACTGCGCGCAGCCGATGCGGTTCGGATCACGTGGTCCGGGCGAGTTTTTGAGGTCTCAGATACGTCACCTAAATGCATTGACCGAGAAGGACTAGGAAGACGCCATACGGGGACCCCGGGACGGGGACTGGGCAAATTCAAACCCTGGCTGTAAAAAGGGAGGAATGCTATCTGGATTTGAAGGAATCTGGGACCGGGAAAGGGATAATTTAACCTAATTAACCTCATTACTACGTGAGCATGGGCTTTGCATATATGACTAAAAAATATTGCATTTAAAGCCAGCAATTAACAAAGGATGCCAGAGTGTTCTGTGGTATTGTAAATGAAATTATCGTCGGGATTTCAGTACGATCCGGCTTCCGGTCTAAACAATTGCCATTGTGACGTCAAACTAGTTCCTTCAAGCGCCTTTACCTTCTTCTGCAAGTGTTTTATTAACAAATCACCTGTATATTTCATAAGCTCTGTGTACACAATCGCACAACTTCGTAATCTAACAACATATTTGTAAAGACCGACATGTCTTGAATAATAATTGGACAGATTGAAACTTAGACCAATTAAAGTTCAAAATGATTATAGCCTTTTGCAAATTTTGCATATTTATCTTTTAAATCCCGTCTCGTGTTTCTCTGGCCAAGCACTGTTGCCACGTCCTTAATAAAATTAAATGACAGGTCACAGGCCGAAAGATTTATGGAAAGGAGACAAATATAACCGGCTTGGACAAAGTTTATTTGGGTCTCAACCATGCATGTAAACAATGGCTAACTTTTACAGCTCAATCGGAAAGCGAAATATGTCATTGTAAACAATGACTCCCTGAGTGCATGGGCCTTTTGTTTGAATATAGTTTCCTGTAACTGAGAGAATATTCGTCTTGCTGTGGAACAAAAAACGTTCGACCTTATTTTCGAGGGAGCCTCGCTATTTATCCAACGTTACACATTTTGTTGAACAAGGAAATCGATTGAAGCAAGTGTACGAAGAGGTAAGACATTTCAAATTTATTCATAAACTAAAACAGGTTGAAAACAATGTAGAAATTCCTTATTCATTTATTATCTTTGATTATGACAGTCAACTGTGAAAGGTTTTAAGAGCTGAATGATAATTTCGGCTACAAGAGCGCTTTGTGTGAAAGTAATATAACGAGCTAGGAACTTCTGCCCATTGCAAAAGTAATTCGAGAGATTTAAGGGTGTTCGTAGTGGTACAGTGTTTATGTGGATTCCGGTTTTCCAGTTAGAAAACTTAGTTATATATCGCTGGTTAATCCACCTTCCGGAAAGCTCAAATCATCGAGACTTTCCACACTTAAGCTAAATTTCAGGGGAATAAAATACCACAAAATGAACTGAATTTTAAAGAGTTCATGCCGGAGAGTCGCTAAAGCAAAAAGTACCATGCGTGACTAACGTTTGTTAAGAACAAAAACGTGTGGCTTTCTATACAAAGATTATGGTTTAAATCAAAAAAATGGCTTAAGGCAAAATCGACAAAATCGGATGGAACGTTTAGGCTGTGTATATTAAGCGATATGGCAGATTACGACCGATGATTTTTAATGGAGTTTGAGGATTACCAAAAGTGTTAAAAGTCGGCGAAGAGTGATACTGTAGACCGAGAAGACTGAGAAGGTTGCACTTTTTCGCCTTTTTTAATCGACTTTCTTTCTCTAGACAATGCAAGCACGAGTTTGAAAAACACGTTCAGGAAACAGGTGTCACTTTAGAATTATGGTTTTAATTTTATCTTCTCCGCTTTTTGAGTGTCTTTAAATAGAAACAAACTTTAATAAAGCGATTCATTAAGATTTCTATCGATCCACATTATCACGGGCATCAAAACTGATAAAAAACTGAGCTACAAACATGAAATTGTTTTATGTCATTACATCGCGGGTGATAATTAAAGAAACTGCGAGTCAAAGTTACTACATGAAATAAAAGGAAGACAACAAAAGTTACTAAACCCGTTGTAGTCATCAAAACACGATCTAACAAACCGTCGTTGTATTAAAACCGTTGAATTTTGCACCCTGTTTGTTTCATGGCAAACAAAGGCGTTGTATTTCGGCTTTCTTTTTGCCAGAATCATCCCCCACTGACAGCCCTCTCTGGGCTTTAGATTAGAGACAACAAAATGGAAATTAGATGGCTTTTTTTCGGAGTTATTTCATTCTCTACAACAAAAGATGTCTGATAAATCTTTCCGGGGGCAAATGAACACATTTGATTAGAAAAGTCGATTCGACCATGCGGCTTTTTCACAAAATTTTTGTGGTCACAACAGTGGAGCTCCTTTAGTAGCATGTTTTATCAAGTGGCTAAGGTAATCCGG